CGCGAGTGGCTGGCGAGGGAAGGCCTCCGGGGATGGCTACAAGGACGAGGATGCGTCCCGAGTTCCTGGAGGAGCAGAAGTAGTGGAGGCAGAGGCACATTTCCAAAGCGAACCCAAACCCAAACCAAAAGGAAAGCTTGCGTCCGGGCCCCCCGTCCGGGCCCCCGTCCGGGCCCCCGTCTGACCCCCGGCCGCCACTTGTCGCCCGATGGTAAAGCTTCCTTTTCTCTCTCGTTGCAGTTCCTCGGGGCGGCGCCGGGCACGCCGCTGGGGGCCGAGGCGTTCTTTGCCCCGGCGCCCTTCCAGCGGCCGTACTCGTGCCCCCACTGCCCCTACCGAGCCAACCAAAAGTCCGACCTGAAGCGGCACCTGCTGGTGCACACGGGCGCGCGCCCCTTCGCCTGCCCGCACTGCCCCTACCGCGTCAACTACCGCTACGACCTGGCAAAGCACATCCGCAGGAGGCACGCGGCCGCCCCGCTCTCGTGAGGGCGAGCGCCGTCGCCCAGGCGAAGGGGCGCGGGCGGACCAGCAGCCCGTCGGGCGGGGGCGCGGGAGGGAGGCGCAGGCGGCCGGGCGGAGCAGGCTCGTCAGGGCGCCCGTTTCGTATTTATGTATGTATGTATGTAATCATGTATGTATATATGTATATGTTTATGTATATATACACACTTGAACGTTTACACACACCACACACAAACACGCATACCTAACACATACCGACGCACTCACTCACGGGCGCGCGTACACATACATATACATGTAATTATATATAGACGTGTGTTTATATACACATACATTTACCCTTACACTTACACTTGATTTACACACACACACACGTGTGTAACATGTAGATACATGCATACATGAAATATGAAATAGAAGAAATGTGGACCGAAGTGCGCCCTTGGTGCACCCGAGGCAGGGTCGCCGAAGGAAGAAGGGACGGCCGGTGCAGCGAGGGAGAGGAGGCGACCGGACGCCAAGGCCAGACCCCAGAGCGGCCGCCCGGCGGAAGGCCCCGACGCGGGTCCCTCGGCTCCCTCGGGCGCTGCGGGCGACGGCGAGGGAGTCCGCCCCTGCGCCCGCGAGAGGAGCCAGGCCCAGCAGCTCAACATCCCCCGTCAGTTCTCATTGCCTGGACGCGCGCGGGCGGGGCAACAGCCAGCCAGCCGCGTGGATCTCGAGTCTCGTACAAGTCGAAAATCAAAGTCTGTTTAGCAACCCTTCGTGACCTGTGATGAAGACATATCTACTCGTACAATAATTTTTTTTAGTGTTTAGAGAGAGAAATAAAGATTACCTCCCCCTGTACAGTACGCGGAAACACACACAACCACACGCACGCACACACAACCACAGACGCAACCACACACGCACGCACACACACGCACGCAACACACGCACGCACACACACACACAAGCACACCACACGCACGCACACAACCACGCACACACACACGCACGCACACACAACCACGCACGCACACAACAACGCACACACACAAACCACACAACACACGCACGCACACACACAACCACACGCACGCACACACCAACACACGCACGCACACACAACCACACGCACACACAACCACACGCACGCACACACACAACCACACGCACGCACACACACACACACAACGCACGCACACACACACAACCACACGCACGCACACAAACAACACGCACAACCACACCACGCACGCACAACACACCGCACGCACACACACACAACACACACACGACACACACACACACACACACACACACACACACACACACACACACACACACACACACACCACACACACATACACACACACACACACACACACACACAACCACACGCACGCGCACACAACCACACGCACGCGCACACACACCACACACACACACACGCACGCACACACACCACACACGCACACACACACACACACACACACACACACACACACACACACACACACACACACACACACACACACAACACACACACACACACACACACACACACACACACACACACACACAACAACACACACACACACACACACACACACACACACACACGCCACACCAAACTACAGACAAATTCTACTGACAAAGTAAAACCAAACAAGTATCTGTTGATTTGTTTATTTTAGCGTTAGGTGTTTTAGGAGCTAGAAGAGAGAGGCAGCGAGTGTGAAAGCCTCGCCCTATTCTCACTTAAGTGGTCCAAGCGAGAGAGAGAGAGAAGAGAAAAAAGAGAAGAGAGAAAGAGAAAAGAGAGAGAGAGAAAGAGAAAGAGAGAGAGAGAGAAAAAGAGAAAGAAAGAGAAAAGAAAAGAGAGAGAAGAGAAAAAGAAAGAGAGAAAGAAAGAGAAAGAAGAGAGAAAGAGAAAAGAAAGAAAGAGAGAGAAAGAGAAAAGAAGAGAAAGAAAAGAAAGAGAGAGAGAGAGAAAGAAAAAGGAGAGAGAAAGAGAAAAAGAAAGAGAGAGAGAAAAGAGAAAGAGAGAAAGAGTGAGTGAGTATGAGCGAAACGAAGAGTAGAAGGAAAAGGAATAAGCGAGAAACTGGGTGAGATTCGCGGAAGGGAAGAGGAAGCAGCGGAAGCCCCGATGACGGTGGAGAGCCCCGGAGCCAGAACCGAATACCGAAGCCGAATACGTGGATAGGAAGTGTAACGAAGCAGGTGGATACCGTGGGAATACGAAGTGTAACGAAGCAGGTGGATACGAATACGTGGATAGGAAGTGTAACGAAGCAGGTGGATACGGTGGATAGAAGTGTAACGAAGCGTGGATACGAATACGTGGATAGGAAGTGTAACGAAGCAGATATACGTGGATAGGAAGTACGATACGTACGAAGTGTAACGAACAGGTGGATACGAATACGTGGATAGGAAGTGTAACGAAGCAGGTGGATACGAATACAAGTGTAACGAAGCAGGTGGATACGAATACGTGGATAGGAAGTGTAACGAAGCAGGTGGATACGAATACGTGGATAGCAAGTGTAACGAAGCAGGTGGATACGAAAGCGTGATACTAAGTGTGTGGATAAGAAAGAAATCTATTTTTCTTCAGAGAATGTGTGTCGCGTGATCAACATATTTTGTCTCGTTTGTTCTGTCGGAATATTTGTCCCTTTTTGGAATATTTGAAATATAGAAATGGAAGCAAATTGACGTCTGATTGCCCTTGCATTATTTTTTAAATTATTAGAAGAAGAATTAAATTTAATAATGTGTGTGCGTGTGCGTGTGCGTGTGCGTGTGCGTGTGCGTGTGCGTGTGTAGGGCCATCTCTTTCCACAGACGAAAGAATCGACAGCGAAGAGATACTTATTATTATTGATTATTATTAATAATTTGCATTATTGCCGGTTCCTCTGCGCTGGCGATTCTCTCGTCTGTGGAAAGAGATGGCCCTACACACGCACACGCACACGTACACGCAAGTACACGCACACGCACGTACACACACGCACACGTACACGCACACGCACACGCACGTACACACACGCACACACGCACACACGTACACACACGCACACGCACGTACACACACGCACACGCACGTACACACGCACACGCACACACACGTACACACGCACACGCACACGCACACACACACGCACACGCACGTACACACGCACACGCACGTACACACACGCACGCACGTACACACAACGCACACGCACGTACAACACGCACACGCACGTCACACACGCACACGCACGCACACGCACACGCGTACACACGCACGCACACGCACGCATACACACGTACACACACGCACGCACGTACGCACACGCACGCACACGCACGTACACACACGCACACGCACGTACACACACACGCACGTACACACACACTACGACACAACGCACGCACGCACACGCACACGCACACGCACACACACACACACACACACACACACACACACACACACATATATATATGTATGTATATGAGAGAGAGAGAGAGGGGGGGGGGGGGAGAGGACGAGTCGTCATACATGTACTGAGGTGTCTTCGTGCACATGAATAAGAGATTTACATACATTTTTACACATACATATTCATACACAAAAACATGTAAATACACAACCACTCGCACGCAAACACATACGCACGTACATACACGTGTGGATATACTCGTGTACATGTCTCCTTTCTCGCAACTCTTCGGCGGTGTCGTGCAGGTGTGAAGAATGTCTGGGAATACGTGTAGATGTAATTTTTTCTTTAAGAAGAAGGAAAATATCGATGATGTGATGATGGGGAATGGGGAATAGGTTAGATAAAGGGAGGAAATCAACGGGAGAGGAGCAGCGAGAGCGATGAGGATAATGCACAAGGAGGAGAGGTGAGAGAGGCAAGAGAATGAGGGGTAGGGAAGAGAGGGAGGGGGAGGAGAAGGGAGAGAGGGGAGAAGGGAGAGAGGGAGGGGAGGAGAAGGGAGAGAGGGAGGGGGAGGAGAAAGGAGAGGGAGGGGGGAGAAAGGAAGAGAGGGAGGGGAGGAGAAGGGAGAGAGGGAGGGGGAGGAGAAGAGAGGCGGACGAGGCAGCGCCAAGTAGCATTACACTAGTGATAAGGAATCGTCTCCCGAGCGGCCCTGAGCGGAAGAATAGTGACGTGTTGTCTTTGTTTTTGCAGTTGGGGTCGTTGGGCGGCGTGGGCGGCTTGATGAGCGTATATGGGCGGCGTGGGCGTGGGACCAAAGTTTGCATCTACTGCGGCAAGTGTTTCGTGCGCTCCGACGTGCTCGTGCAGCACGTGCGCACGCACACGGGCGAGAAGCCGTACGCCTGCCCGCACTGCCCGTACCGCGCGTCGCAGAGGACGCATCTCAGGCTGCACTTGCGCAGGCACGACCAGACGCACGCGGCGGCGGCGGCGGCGGCGGCGGCGGGAGGGGCGGCCGCAGGAGGAGGAGGAGGGGCGGCGGCGGGGGAGGAGGAGGGGGAGGGCAGGCAGCCTACAGGGCCTTCCTCCACTTCCCTCGCTTCCCGCCCATCCTCCTGCCGCGGCGCCTTCGCTCCCTCCGCTGGCCGCGTCCTCCTCGGGCGGCGGCGCGCCCCCCGCCCTGGCCGCGCGCGGGCGCCCCGAGGACACCGCGCGGCACTATCACTTCAAGTAGGGGGGGAATGGAGGAAGAAGAGGGATAGGGGAAGGGGAAGCAAGGAAGGAGGTAAGGAGGGGACAGGAACGGGAAAGGGGGAAGTAGAGAAGGAAGGAATTGGAGGAGAGGGGAGAAGGGAGGGGAATAGAGGAGGAGGGAGGAAAGATTGGATCAGGTGACACGAAAGGGAGAATAGAAGGACCGGGAAGAAAGGTGAGAGATAGAAGATGTGGAGTGAGGTGAGAAATGTGGAATGTGAAGGAAGGAGGGAAGGAAAGAAAAAAAAAAAAAAAGAAAGGAAAAGAACAATAGGTTAACTTGAGAGAAAAAGGCACAAGGAATGAAAAATAAAGAGAAAGGCCGAGAGAGGATGCAAGTGAAAAGAAAGGAAAAACAGAGACAGAGCAGAGCAGAAACGACGTTCTATGCAGTGACAAAACGTGTGATAAAGCGAGGAATTACGAGACAGGACCCTTGTGCCTCGTGTATGGCAGCGCAGCCCTCCTCCGTCGTGGCCGCCCTCTCCCTCTCGGTGGGCCGCCCTCTCCCTCTCGATGGGCCGCCCTCTCCCTCTCGGTGGCTCACGTGTCTGGTGATCAGTGGTTGGTAGATGTAAGGGAAGCCTTTTGGAGAAATCAATAAAGGAAATATCCGTACAATGTTTATTTTTTAATCCTCTTTTGTAAGTACTGTTTGTGTGCATCTGCGGACCTGTACTTAGTTCTGAGTGTGTGTATCTCTGAACATCCGTATCTGTATCTCTAACTTTGTATCTGCTTGTCTGTCAGTATTTATAGTCTGATATGACTTTGCTTTGATTGACAGTTATAATGATTTCCTTTGTAGTGAAGAATATACGGGATAGGAGCTTTTAACTATACATAATCTGTTATAATAAAAACATTTTGTTAATGATCATTACGCATTCATGATAATAGTCTGATGAAACGGGGGGGGGGGGGGGACTCTGTCGAAGTTTCGCTCGCGGTCCTCCGGCCTCGCCACGCGCTCACACGCACACACGCTCATACACACATACCCTTTGCACTCGCACGCAAAGACAGACAGACACACGCGCGCGCGGAGGCAAGGCCCGCAGTGGAAGGAGAGAGGAAGACCGAGGTGTGGAGAGGCGTCTGAGGCGTCGCCAGGCGCGGCGGGCGCTCTCCTCCAGCTGTATCTCGATGAAAGCGTCTTGGGCATCTGGCGTCGCGCCCGCGCGGCCGTCGGCATCCCGGTCATTTCCACGGTCCAGTTGCATCGGAGGCGGATGGCAGTGGATGAATAAGTAGGCTTTGGGTTTTCGGAACCAGGGAATAGTCTAGGAGCGAAAAGGGCAGATTTGTGTTCTCGGCAATAAGCCGTGGCAGGCAGAGCAGTGCTTGCAGTGCCCGGGGCATGGGGCACGACCCAGACGAGCTGCGTGGGATGTTTTGAAAAATAATGAAGAGAATGTGTATGGAAGGAAAGGACAGGTGCACGAAGTAGTCCGGATGCAGGCGCACCGCTTGAATAGCCGGGCGTCGGGAGACGAGAGCTTCTCCTCGTCGCCATGAGGAGTCTCAGAATATAAGGCTTAGTCATGAAGTGAAATCAGTTTAGAATGGCAAAGCGAGAGCAGATTGAGGTGTGAGGGTCGACTTAGAGCGATGGTGGGGGGTCGAGCGGCCTGCCTGCCTGCCGCCCGTAGGGCGTCGGCGGCGACTGGAGCGCAGCCAGGGGTCGAGATGTGGGCGGGGCATGCCTCTGGCGGGGAGCGGAGGCACAGCGCCCGTCCGACCGCTATAGAAGGGAGGGGTGGTGTGTGGGCGGGCAGCCGTCTCTCCGGAAGTCGAGCTTGGTGGAAATGGCCGTGTTGGCTCAGGCACGAAGCGCCGGCTCCTGCGGGCGCGGCTGTGACCTGCAGAGGGGAGGTGAGGGCAGTTGGTTGAGCACCTGAGGGGAGGGGGTGGGAGGAGGGAGGAGGGGAGGCGGAGGCTTGAGGAGGAGGGCGCCGCCCGTGGCCCAGTCAGCGCTGACCAGCCCTTCTGTTTTGCAGTGGTGCGGCGTGGTGCGCCTGCGCGAGCCCCCCCCGCTGCGCCCCCCGGCCCGGCCAAGAAGTTCCAGTGCGACTTCTGCGGGAAGAGCTTCCAGTGGCAGAGCAACCTGCAGCTGCACGTGCGCAGCCACACGGGCGAGAAGCCGTACCCGTGCGCGCGCTGCTCCTACCGCGCCACGCAGCGCTCCGACCTCACCAAGCACATGCGCATCCACACGGGCGAGAAGCCGTACGCGTGTCCGCACTGCCACTACCGCGCCGCCTACACGTCGTCCCTCAAGGACCACATCCTGCTGCACCACCGGAGCGCCGAGCCGCCGCGCCGCCCCCCCGCGCCAGCACTGCCGCAC